GTATTTGTGGCTTTTCTGATTTTCTTCCTATAGTTGATTTCCAGTTTCATACCGTTGTTGTCAGAAAAGATGCTTGGTATTATGCTGTTGAGATTTAAAATAAGGACTAAGATGGGGCTGGCCCAATTGTGTAGTGGTTAAGTTCATGTGCTCCACTTCAGTGGCCCAGGGTTTGCAAGTTCACATTCCGGCTGCAGACCTACACACCACTCATCAAGCCAAGCTGTGGTGGTGTTCCACATACAAAATAAAGGAAGATTGGCACGGACGTTAGCTCAGAGACAATCTTCCTCACCACAAATAATAATAATAATAATAATAAGGACTAAGATAAATAACTGGAGGAGAAAGGAAAACTCTTCCTTACAAGAGAATGCCAAGTAATAAATATAGATGGAATGAAGGTGTTAGAAAATCACTATTTTGCAACCATAATAGTAATAATTGATGCAGGCAAGAATCAATAATGGATGTTAAAACTCACTTGTGAAAGTTTGGTGAGGAATAGGATATTTCCAACATTTCAAAGTACCTCCCACAAATTACTTATTTAATATAGAAAGTAAAATAGTAACTTTACAGTGGAGAAAACTGCTGGACATTGCCTTAACCAAGCGATCAAAGTTAACATCACAAATCATCACCAGTTGACGTGTGATGTTATGCACTGAAGCAAACAATATTTTGTAGTACTCCTACAAAAAAATACATAACTCATATCTAACCATAAGGAAACATGAGACAATTTTAGCATGAGAGACATCCACAAAACAACATCCTGTACTCTCCAAAATGTAGATGTCATGAAAGACCAAGGAATCTCGGAGGGACTATTACAGATTAACGGAAATTTAAGAATGATGACAACTAAATGCAACCTTGAATTGGTTCATGGACCAGAAAAAATAATGCTACTGTAGAGCAGGAAAAATAATTTTCTATCTACTCTTCTAGGTTCTTGTCTGAGACCCTCTTGTAATAAATGACAGATTAACAGGAGAAAAACAAACAGAAGTTTAATAACATGTATACCTCCTATGTATGTGGGAGATACCCAAGAAAACTGAGTAACTGCCTGAAAAAATGGCCCAAGACACCACCTTACACACCATCTCCAGCTAAAGACAAAAGAAGATGCTGGGGATGGGATGTCAGTTATGGGAGGTGACCAGGAAAAGCACAGTAGACAAGGGCAAGGTTGTTTTACAGATTTAAGTCATTGATTTCTCCGTGGATAAGAGTTTCTAGAGATTTAGAGTCATCCTCCTCTTCCTGGTACAGAGAGGGAGACACCCTTACAAATGGAGATTTCCCTTATAAATGTAAATGTCCCTTACAAAACGGTAACTTCTACTCAGCTATCAGAGCTTTTCCTATGTCTGTTGTTTCTTAAAAATCATCAGCCTAAAATAATCCTTATGCCAAAGAGGCATATTTTGGGGTGACAAATTCTGGTCCCCTTCACGATAGAAGACATTATTGGGACAACTAGCAAAAGTAGAATGTGAACCGTATATGAGATAATGCCAAATTGTCTAACACTTAAATATTAAATTTCCTGAATTCATGAAATTTCCTGTGGTTTTGCAAGAGAGTGCCCTTATCCTTAGGAAATAAATACTGAAGTACTAAGGTTTGAAGGGGCATGACACCTGGAACTTACTCTCAAATGACTCAGGGGGAAAAAAGAAAAAAATATACATAGAGAGATAAATGATAAAGCAAATATGGCAAAATATTAACAGTAGGTAAATCTAAGTAAAGGATATAGTTCCTTAGTATAATTCTTACAATTTTTCTGTGTCTGAAATTATTTCAAAATAAAAATTTAAATAAACTTTAAGAATAAAGGAATAAGAAAGTATTGTGAACAATATTATACCAGTAAATTTTAAAATAGAAATGAAACGAATAAATTCCCAGAAAAATCTAACCTGTCTCAGCTGCAGATTTCAAACAGATTTATAAACATTAAAGAAATTAAGTCAGTAGTTTAAAATCTTCCCCAAAATTAAACACCAGGCCAGACCAGATGGATTTACAGGCGAGTTCTACTGACTTTCAAGGAACAAATATTTCAAATTCCCCACTTTTATTCTTTGAAGTTATTGTAACTGAGAATAAACAAAAGCAATAGGATATATTGGAGTATATGAGGAAGCCATTTGGTTTAAAACTAATTCGGCCTGACCTTGTTTTTCCAAAAAGGCCTGACGTGGCCTCTTGAGCATGCATTGTACATCTGCTTTAAACATTTAAATGTCACAAAGCAAGAATGATACCCTTGAAGGTAGGCATGTGGTTTCCCCCCCATATCAGCATTTCTTTAAGGATAAGCATCTCTCCCTAGTAACTAAGGATTAATTACCAACCTGCTGTGCTCACCTTGTGACCACTGACCTGCTGACCATGCACCTGCTGTGCCAGCTGAGCATCTCGTGACCATAGTAAAGAGATATTCCTGTCATATGTGATATATGCTCTCTGATCCAAGACGGTATATAACCACTCTATACACCCCACTTCTTTGGTGCCCTTCCTTCCTTGGGGAAGGAAGCCCTCAGGCTATAGTCCTCAGACCTGGCTCATAATAAATTCACCCCAATTTTGATTTATAGATTGATTATGGATTATTTGCATTGAAATAACATTGATATCAAAAGCATACATGGATAAAATAATCAAGGCTAACATAAATAAAAAATCATAAACAAAATATTGGCAAACTGAATCTAGCAATCCATGAAAAATATAATATGTTCATTACCAAGTTGAGTTTATCCTAGGAATTCACAGTATGTTTAATGTTAGAAAAGGTATCAATATAATCAATTAAATTAACATATCAAAAGAAAAATATAATACATATTTTCTTATATTTTCGAAAATGAACAAGCAATTCCTGTATAATCAAGAACCTGGCTGGCCTTTGTCCCCAATTCCTGGGAGGTAGCCTCTAAGCCCTGAAATTTCCTGAGTGCTGGGAGTATCTTTGTTATTCATGATGTCCCCTCAGACCACCACTGAGATTATGCTAACAAGATGACACTATGGTAGGTCACTTATGCTAAGGAGATGACTCAGTATGGGGGCTGGCTACCCAGAAAGACCAACCCTGTGGTTAGAAGGTTGAGGCTTTGAACCAGGTGATATCAACCAGAGCTGACTGGAAGGACTAGAGACTGAACTCAATCAATCATGGCTACACAATGAAATCCCAATAAAACCTCAATCAAATATAACTCAAGTGAGCTTCCCTGGTTGGCGACACTCTGTGCATATGTTACACATCAGTGTGCTGGAGGGGCATCTTTTCCTGACTCCCCAGGGAGAAGACACTGTAAGCTTCCCATCCAGGAGTCTCCCAGACCTCACTCCATGCATTTCTTCTTTTGACTAGCTCTGATTTGTGTCCTTTTTGCTACAATAAAACTGTAATTGTAAGTACAGCACCTTCCTGAGCTCTGTGAGTCACTCTAGCAAATTATCAAACCCATGAGGGTCATGAGAACCCCCAAGTCTGTAGCCAGTTATTCAGAAGTGAGGGTGGCCCTGGAACACCCTAGCTTGGGGCTGGTGTCTGAGGGAGGCCAGCCTGCACTATCCTTAGGATAGTAGAGCACTAAAGATAGTAGAGCACTATCCTTAACCTATGAAGTTTGGCCCAACTCTGGGTAGTTAGTGTCAGAAGTTATTGCAGCAATGAACAGACAAACCAAAACCTAATAATAAGTGGTCACAAAAGGGAAGGAAGAGAACAGATGGGCTGGGATAGGGTAGCAGCCAGACTTCTCTGAATATACCTTGTTTTATGGTGTTAAAAACAGGACAACAGGCCCAAAACATCACCAAACCGAGACTTAATTACAATTTCGGGGCTCCCAGAAATGGAATCTTAAACCAGTCAATCAGGAATCATCTGATCAGCACTAGTCTGCCTGACAGACCCCGGCCATCCCGTAAAGGAAAGTAACTTTGCAATAACCAACCCGCTTCTTTGACTAGTCTAGCTTCCTTGTCCCCACTCCCTTCTGCCTATAAAAGTCTTCCATTTTGTGCAGCTCCTCGGAGCTCCTTTCTTTTTTTTTTTTTTTTTTTGTGAGGAAGATCAACCCTGAGCTAACATCCACGCTAATCCTCCTCTTTTTGCTGAGGAAGACCGGCCCTGAGCTAACATCCATTGCCAATCCTCCTCCTTTTTTTTTTTTCCCTTTTTCTCCCCAAAGCCCCAGTAGATAGTTGTATGTCATAGTTGCACATCCTTCTAGTTGCTGTATGTGGGACGCCACCTCAGCATGACCGGACAAGCGGTGCGTCAGTGCAGGCCCGGGATCCAAACCTGGGCCGCCAGTAGTGGAGCATGCGCACTTAACCGCTAAGCCACGGGGCCGGTCCCCTCGGAGCTCCTTTCTATCTGCTAGATTGGATGCTGCCGATTCAGGAATCATTGAATAAAGCCAATAAGATCTTTAAAATTTACTCAGTTGAATTTTGTTTTTAAACAATGGTTTGACTTTGGAATCATGTAAATGTTTTACATAATTAAAACATAAAATTGAATCAAAAAATAAAAAACAACCCCCTAAAAATTAAAAACTAAAACAAAGGAACCTAACTCTATATCAAATTGGTAGCATAACCACACAGAATTATTCCAGTGACTTTAAACACAGTATTTTGACTGTCTATCCCTAGTAGGATAGACCAGAAGGTCAAAAAAAAAAAAAAAAATCAAAAGGAATCAAGACTGCCGTCAGGGGCCTTGTCGGCTGTCATGACAGTATTGTGATTTTGAAAAGATGTAGAATCATAAACATACCCCTGACCCCAGGATTCTGGTCTCTAAATATCATTACCCTTTAAAAGGAACCAAAGACGTTGGACGAATGGCTTGTCCCCCATCTGGGGAAGGAAATACACAAAAAGAGCCTGGTATATCTTGTCATAACAGAAATCAAGGAACTTTTCAAAGGCTCCTGGGGCCATGTCAATAGCACATGGGAGCCAAGTTGAAGGAGCTCCCACTGACCAAAGATGGGATAATTCGAGCATCAAAAATAATAATGATTTCAATAGATTGTAAAAATATACTTTTAAAAACACAATAAATACATAAAAATTCATTAATTTATAGTGATAATTTTATAAAACCATCCTCGGATGTCTTTGGAGGTTGCTGGGATGCCAACTCATTCTGAAACAGACGCATAAAAAGAATCAAGCATTTATCCTGCCTTTCCTATTCAGACTGTTTATGAGGGTAACCAAATAATTGATGACAGTTCTTCTTTATAGAAGAATCACAGCTAACAAATGCAGGAAGAGTTAGTGACTTAGAAAGTCACTATATTTTGCAATTTCTAATGAAATCACAGATACAGATAATGATTAACAATGGCTGCCAAAAACATTGGGTGAAAAGTAAACGGGAGACTTGATAAGGGATGGATTAGGCTGACGTCATCTGGACCCGCTGATCAGTATTAAGATCACAACAAGTGAGACAACCAGATATTACGTATCTCCTGACGTGACGCAATAGGAAGCACACAGCACCACCCACAGAGAAATTTTGCCAAATAAATATTTTAAAATTTTAAACATTTTTCAAAAGGAAAAGAAAAAAAAAAAAAGAGCCTAAATCTAATCAAGTCTCTAATTACTATCTAATCACTAGTTTTCAGAAATGAGGGATGGCATAACATGTAAAAGAACAGTCCCAAAATCAAATCAGATAAATACAGAAGGCAAGAAATTCTATAGCGCAAATGATATAGTTTCTTCATCAAATAAACAGAATTTTTAAAGAAAGAAGAGAAAACTTTAATAGACTAAAAAGGATTTAAGAAACATACTAACCAAACAAAGTGTGCACCTTTTTGCATCCTGGTTCAAATAAACCAACAATAAAAATATAATCATTTGGAAAATCAGGAAAAATTGAACCCAGACTGGATATTAGGTGATATTAAGGAATTATTACTATGGGAGGGTGAGGGGGGTAGTCACAGGTATTGTGGCTATGCTTCTTGAAAGTCCTCATCTGTTAGACGTACACACTACTGCTTTTATAGATTAAATGGTATGATGCCTTGGAATTACTTTCAAATACTCGAAAAGAAAAAGTGGGGAGAAGAGATGGTCCAAGAATGGCAGGAAATTGATCATTGCTGAAGCTGGGTGATGGCTCACAAGGA